GGTTACAATTTTTATTTTGAAGACTGCATGGTCTAGGAAGTGTACATTTTTTATGGGGCAAGTTTCCAAGGGCGGGTTTTCTATGGGCGAGTTGACTGCCAAAGAGTGTTGCCAAAGTGCGAGCCATCGTGTTATTTGATCACAAGTGCGGAGACATTGCAAGTGTGAGCCAGAGGGCCATGATGTCACGACAATAGATACGAGACGTTACTCGAGTTGTGCGAGGTATCGGCTGAGATTTGTGGAGTACAATTCAAAAGACAACTATAGGCCTAATAATGAATTATTGTGATGTTAAATAGACAATGTTAGCTATCAAGGAGCGACGTTGTTTTTCATTGGGACCTTCATCCCTTCAAGGCTAGGCCTATACCATCCTAGCTAGTTTAAGCCAAGAGTAGGATAAGGCTAGCGCGACATGCGGACATTGGTACGTGTTGATTAGTCTACAAACGTCGCCTAAGTAATTGATTTTAGCCGGCAGAACGAAAGAAGAAAACTCCGCTTTTCAGTCATATTAGGCCCTTGATTTTTGACAAACAATGACCTTTCAGAGGTCAAACTGCTGTCAAGAATATGAATTGGCTGCTTCGCAGCAATTACTGTAGAGACCAAAGATGTTAAAGACCAGGAAAACCACGTGCACAAAAATGGTCTTTAATTGGAGAGAGACCTGTACATTATATTTTCTACACCTCCCACCATCCTGTTACTTGTATGTCCTACACAGTGATAAAAGAAAAGGTACAGTATTCAAAATTGTATGAGTACAGTATATATTTAATCACATTTGTTCTTAATTTTCTTTTCAAAATAATGTTTTTGTTTCATCATGTGAAACTTAGTTTACTTTTTTAAACTTTACATTAAAAAATGTCTAGGTTAATAAATTGCGTTCTATATAACACGCTTGCATAAGATGGGTATAAAAATACATCACATTATATTTTTAGACTTGTATGTATTGAGCCTAATACTAATGTCTCAGCATGTAAAGTTATGTTATCCTTGCTATTGGATATAGATGGCAGGTATTCTAATGCCCGGCACGCACTGAGTCGGCTGATGAATCCATCTTCGCCCTATGTGAGCATTTTACAATGCGATGCCATTTACCGAGTGGATGCCGTTAAAAATTATCCATTGTGCACTCTTCGTGTTTTCTGCAGAACGGTGCCGACGTAGTGTGTGCTCGGCTTTAGACATCCTTTATTTAAATTAGTATTCCACCACGGCATTGGAAGGAAAGGCACATGGTAAATAGGGTACATGGTAAATGGAACACTTAGTAAATAGGACTTTCCAGTAATATTCTGATTCCTGTTCAGTAATACATTTGTTAATGTAATTTAACAAGATCAGAGTTGTAATGCTAAAGTTTTAATTAATAAATATATATCAGAATATCCTTACACTAAACAGTGAATCGTGTGCATCTGTTACAGTTACATTTTACAGAAAATGGAGGGAATTTGTATACAGTATTTTTAAATGACGAAACACCACAACAGTATAGTCAACTACAATATTGCACTTGGGGAAAATAAGTTTCTTAAAATATAATTTTACAGAATTCCATTTTCGATTTTGTCTTTAGACCACTAAAACTTATAAAAAAAAGCATACATTTTCTTAAAACAAAATGCCAAGTCGAGTGCAACTTCGGTACCTGGTTTCTCTTATGTATAATCTGAATACACAGCGACTACTATTACTATGTTCAATCATTCTTCAATACTTGGAGCCCTTCTCTTGTGCTCTAGAAATCTATTAAATCTCTCTTCCAGTATTTCATCTACAACATTCAAAATCTTCTATCCACTCAAAGACTGGGTCCAGTGGGGTTGCCTCATCAGCAGATGGTAGCTTATCCCATTGTAAATGATTTAAACCTGTAAAACATTATTATTATTATTATCAGTTATTCAGGTACTGTTAACAATAACAGCAAAATGAAATCAGAAAACTACTGTGGTAATTCTGTTAACCGAAAGGTCCACTGATTAATCTCAGATAAGATAGTATAATACACTCCAAGTATCAAAATGCATGCCATCATGTCGGGATTCAATATTTCAACGTTAATTATGTCATCATCAGGAATCATGATTTATAATTATTTCGACATTAATTATATCATCATCACGAAATTCTGTTTGAATTTCAGTTTTCATTTTGTCATAAACAAAACAGGCAACAATCACAAGTCGAAAATAAAATTTAAAGAAATAACAATCGAAGGAGTAATGACCTATGATGAAAGAAAGCTCCGCCAGACCGACAGAATTGACAGGGTAGAAGTTTATGCTTAGCGTGAAAAGCTATAATTATCTAAAGCGGTTTTGTTTTACACTTTTATTTTCCAGTAACAAATCCTTATATGTGGCAAAGACAAGCCAAACCAGTCACTCGTCACAAAAATCAATTTTGAGTTATTAATACAGGGTTAAGGAGTAAAATAAGAGCTATAAAGTGGTAAAAAAAATCATTCAAATCCGACATTTCCTTATGAAGTTACAAGCGTTTAAACATACAGGTGTTTTAAAGAACAATATATGAGAAATCAGCCTTTAAAGTTTATGATTTCGGGCATTTCTCATGCAGAAACTATCATGAAATCCTTGTGTTGTTTTAACATTGAAAATGGGGAAAATAACAGCATAGCATGATGTATAGATATACAGTATAAAGGTTAGTTTAAGGCAATAAAAGATTTTTTAAAATTTGACATTCCAACATGTTTTGGCCATTTTCTATGAAACACGACTTGCGACGAGTGACTGGTTTGGCTTGTCTTTGCCACATATTATTAGTGTAAATTAAAAAATAAAAATGGTATTTCCCCAACATTTTCATTATCCATTAATAAACATACAAAATATAAAATTACATACATTTAAAACCGACACAAACAGAAGGCAAAAGTAGATTGCAAAATTGTAAACAGATTTGGGAAGAAATGGTTTTCTACAAACCTTCATCAAGCCTTTCAAATGCCCAAGTTGATTCACTGTAGAACATCCAGGTATGGCCATTATTGCATGCTTTTAGACAGGATAAACATGGCGTCACAACATGATAGCCTACAACATTACCACTAAAAACAAAGAAAATTATAAATTATATTTCACATTCGAGCATAATTTCTTTATAAACTACATAGTTTCTGCCACCTCTCAGTACTCCAACTCCTCAGTAATTTATAATTTCCTTGTACTGACGCTTATTGTAGACTTAATAATTATTAGCGCACACATTACTTTGATGGTTTGAGCATGGTTTAAATTGTGGATTACTGTTTGTATATCAATAGATGAAATGATTTTGTGAGCCAGCCCTTGTGATACCATAGAGAAATAAAAGAATGAAATAAATTAATACAATTATTAACTCATGCTATTGAGTGAAATACTTACCAAGAGGTACATCCTGCCTCTTTAATTTTGCAATCACAGTTAGGCGTTGAGAAACTTTTTCCCATCACATCTACTTTCCTTCAAACAAAAAAACAATGAAAGATAAACAATTAGAATAGGCCTACTAGGTACTGTAAGCCAAGTAATCTGAGTGGATGTTATTTATGAACAGATTGGATTTGAAAGAAGCCTATACAAACTAGGCTTTATTTCATTTCATTTCATTTTATTCAGGAATTAAAATCAAGATTACTTGAAAATAAAACAAATACAAAGAACAGATAAAAGATAAAGAACAAGATAAGACATTAATTCCTAGGGTAACCCAAGAAAGTTTTACAATATATAAAACTTATTTCCATTGGGGCCCTTAAAAAACTGTAAACATTTTCACCACACAAGAAACATAAAACAGTTAACAATAAAAAGCCAAAATTGACAAAAAAAACCCCCAAAATATAATAGACATTAAAAAAGCTATATCAAAAAGAGCAGATGCACTCTTATTTGAAACATTGCACATCATAGCTTAATTAAGTGTTTACCCAAATGATTTCCGTTTGCACTTTTGAATTATTATTATTATTATTAAAATATGTTAAGAATGATGATGATTAAGAATGATATGTTAAGAATGATGGCTTACCTTGATTAGAAGCCCATGGGGTTCTTTTCATGATGGCCTGCTTTTCGAGATTACTTTTGCACACTGAAGAAGGGGGGGGGGGGNNNGGGGGGGGGGGGGGGGGGGGAGGTGAAGGGGAGGCTTCTTTTCGAGATGGGCTCCTTCACGAGATTAAGACCATGGGGCTTCTATTTGAGTTTTAACGGTATGTCATGACATTTACTTACACAACTTTCATTTCATGATGATGTCCTTGATCTTGATTTGTCCATCCTTCTTAATTTTGAATTGGATAACATAATTAATTAACAAACAATACCATCACGTCATAGGCTAGGCCCTAGATGCGTTACAATTACAGGCGGTATTACTATTGGCGCAAAAATGTGTAAATTATGATCGGTAAGTAGGCCTAGGTCCAGGCATATCATATATAATTTTAAATTGGACATCCCTGCTTTTAGGCCTAGCCTAGCCCGGGCCTGCTACCAAGTAGGCTAGGCCAGGAACACAGATAGGCCTAGGCCTAGATACTGTACTTACCCTGAAGGAGGCATATCCGTTGAGTACATCTGCACGTTCGTATCAGCCAACAAGACTGCCTTCATTCCACGGTTACAAATACAAGTATCACAAAACTTGCATAAAAGTTTGATTACTCGTTTACATCTGAAACTAGGATGCATAGTGAACTGTCCGTTTCAAAACATAAATGAAGAAGAAAAATAAATTTGTGTCGAAGTTACACCAAATACAACACGTACGGCCTTTGACTTGTTGTTTTTTAAATCGACCGCATGTGTAATCGTCTCTGAGTAAATTCTGTGCAGAGGATGGATGTGATTGGCTGAAATTTTTCAACGGCTTAATTGATTGGTCCTACAAGATAAAAGAGACCAATGAATGGTAAAAGTCGAGCCCTTTAAACCTACCCATAATGCAAACCCGGAAGTCTATACTTACTTATTAAAATGGCGACCTTTGGAACCGAGTGCAGAACAGAACTGCTTTGAGATATATTTACTGTGGTTCGAAGTGAGTCTGCATTACAACTTTCTTTCGTTCAGATGGTGATAGTTACCAATGGATAAAAAACAAGAGAAGGAAATTCTGCAGGATTTTGATGGACATACGCGAGGTGAGTTTTTTTTTTTTTTTGGTTAGAGAAAGTTGAATAGCAAAAATGCGATTTCCAGTTCAGTGATCGAATTTATCAGGGTTGGGACGTGAGGTGGTGAAGGGTCGAGTTTCCTTGGTGAGCTGATGAATGGTGTTTGTGTCAAAACCCCTGCTGGCCTAGGCCTAGCCTGACATGCTTGGTCTAACTTGGAATTTTGATAATGGAGAAAGTTTCAGTCAACAAATATCTGAAGAGCTTTTTGTAAATTATTTATTTTTATAAAAAAAAATTAAAAATACAATTTAGCCTAAATGAAAAAATAGGTTTTTCATTTGATTACACAGGTGGCAGGGAGTTGAGAATAGTGTCAATATAGAGGGCCATATAAGTTTAGCATCATTAACAACTCACTGGACAGGCTAGGTAGGCCTAATGAAGATAGAGCTGTCCTAGCTAGTGGTGTTGGCCTAAGCCTACTGTAAATAAAGAGGGGAATCCTATTATACCCTCTGCTCAAAAAATAGGCCTGGCCTGTACATTTCAGAAGATAAGGACCGATTACCGCGCACATTTTTCTGGAAATTAATCATAGAAAAATTTTTAATTTAACTTTAATCACATATCTAGCAATGATATAACTCACAGTCACAGCACATTTTAGACCACCGTTCCGCAACCTATGGATCGCGACCCATCCATTGATTGGGTCGTGAAAAATAATTCAGATCGTAAAAACTTTACTTAACACGAACAAAGACAAACAAAATTAAATTACAGTAAATGAAAGTGCAATTTGAATGTGACAATTGCTTCAGTTTATTTTTGTTATGCGTTATCACAGTTTTATGTTAAAAATATACTATCAAAACACTTGTACCTCAGGTATGACAACCTTAAAGTATTAGTTTTGTTCATTTCAATGTGTTAAGCTTTCAGCTGCAAATTATAATGAGAAAACATTTTTAAATTTAATGTGACTATGTCTTTGCATACAGTAACCCATAAATCTCTGGCAGCACTAGGAATTTATAATAAAATGTCTGTTAATCATTAATTTTTAAGTTACTGAAAAATTTGGTAACTTGCGAGATTTTGATAAATGAGTAATTCAAAGTTATATTTTCATTTTTATAGGTTTTGCATATTGATTTTGTGGGTGATGATAATATATAATATGTTAATCGATTCACAAAAGAATCAAGTGGGTGTTCTTCCCGCTATCCCTCGCATGTATAAAACGACGGACGTTTTATTGACTTTGAGTTCGATGGGCCGTCTCAGAGTGCTTGACATGCTAATTTGGGGTTGTGGGCTAAAAAGGTTGAGGAACAGGGTTTTAGACAACACAGACAACTTCAGTGAAAACAATCCGAAGTGGATAAGGGAAACAAAGCAGCATATCTGATGCATTTTTTGCAGCCTAATATTGTACTGTAGGAAACTGTAAATTAAACCATGACTACTTTATTCTGAAAGCTGGTAGGCACATTGCACACAATATAATAATGATTGTATTTGATGTTCAAAGTAATATCCTTTCCAGAAATATTAAACTTTCAAAAATATGTTTTTAATATTTTCATGAAGCCCTACACTGCAATGCAAATATATACTTTCACCTGCAGTGAGTTGTAGTACACAGATTTCCAGCCGATGGTTATCATATCTGAGAAATTATAATTTATATTACTTTTCAAATAATTTTACTTTCAACTATATATCAGAGTTGACATTTTTGTTACAATGCTTTAATAATTTTATCAATCATAAAGAAGTGGAATTGTAAATGTTGATTCATTTGTTTTATTGATGCTTTGTACAAGGATGTTTGAATAAAATGTGTGGATTGACTTTTCTTTTGCTCAAAAGTAAACATTGTTTGGCCTTCAATATTTAAGGGTACAGATATTCAGTTTTAGTTTTTTTAAAGTTGAAGGTCGTACAAATCATAATAAAATTTCACTTTCTATAGTTTAAGCCATCTGTATCCATCTTCATCATCTTTGAATTTATCATTTTTGAAACAGATGCATGCATTAATACAGTACTTTACAAAGGCCTTTGATTCATTTGACAAACATGTACCTACACTGTAATTGCAGTGGTAGTATGCTTTTTAGTTAAATTTTGTTTAGTATTTAAATTTAATTGTATCATATTAAGTCAGAATGGTAATCTATGTGTAAAACATGCAGCATTTCTTTCCTATTCTCTGACGTTTTTAATAGAACAACTATAAGATTTGAAGAACAATTTGTGTTGTACTGTATTAATCATTAAAACGATTTAATCTTCCCCCTTTTTTTTTTTGGACAAATTCAAATTAGTATACAGTACTGGATATGCTTTGTTTACAATGAAAAATTAGTATGCAAGATGCTGACAGATTTAATTAAATTAAGATTAAATTAAAGTTTTTAAAAAATATCAGGTCAACTACAGTACTATAATTAACCTGTTTTTTTCAGTATATTTTAATTATGTAGAATTAAGTAGTATCATATCCTCAATATAAAAGCATATCTCAAGATCTTTGATAGAAATAGTGTAATGTATGTATCTGTAAGTTTGTTTTCTTTTAAGTTTGTGGTGCCATACTTACAAATGTGTGTTGTGTAGTAATAATATTTAAGCTGACTGTGTCAGTAGTTATTATTGCTCATGCTTTTCAAGTAGTTATATTTTTACTATATGTATCTGTGGTAGAAAATTTAGCCAGTTGCCAAGGAAATCAGAGGCTCGTGGAGACATTGCCTTTTAGGTGTTGATCGAAACAAGCATATATATTAGAATCATATTTTAATTATTTATATCTTTTACAAAATTTAGTTATGAGATAAACTGGCTTTAAACTTAACATCTACAGTATCTTTGCTTTTATCTGAAGGTCATCCATAGCACATGTGATGGAGGCAATCATTCTTCAGGTTTTCAATGTTTATATTTTCAGTCAATTGAAAACAATTTGCATACTACAGTACTGTTCAGTATAACTGAATGTGTTTGAAAAAAAAATATGTCTGTTGAGCTAATAAGGCTAGACATGTTTATACCTTGATTCACAAACATGTGTTTGTGAATCAAGGAGGGCGGAAAAAAACAAAAATGGTTTTTTTTTTCTTATTTAGAAAATAGTTATGCCAAAAACATCAAGATAGAAGAGAAAAAAAAAATAGTAAAAAAAAAAAATTGAAAGTGTAGAATAGGATGGCTAAATGTCTTTAAATTGATAATTAGTAAGAAATATACATCTTATTTTTAAAGCAGCGGCGGGTGTAATAAAATTAAAGAAAATCTTTTAAATTCTGAAATTTCCATTTTTTTTTTTGTGGCAGCGGGTGCGCTAATTGGCCAAAAGCAAAATTTTATTTTTATTCAAAATCATCATTATTGGCGGCCTGCCGCTTCGCTAAACAAAGTCTTGCCTAAACTTAGAACAAGAAAATTTAATATTAATTTGGTTGCTGACTACAGTCTTTGGAATAAAATGGTCTACTTTATGAACACTGATACCTGGATAAACCTACTAAGTGCCTATCAGGTATTCTTTCTCATGAGAGAACCCCTCGAAAATAAAATATTTCAGTTAAAATGTAAAACAAGAAAACCCATTTCCTTATTTTATTATTTGCATATAAAATAAGACCCTTATTGTTACATTGGCTGGTAGACATTAATACATTGGAAAGCCAAGACTAATACATTTTTAAATTCATCTTTTGTTATTTTTCCTAGATTATGGGAACAACTTCCTAAATGAAATTAAACAATGCACATCCATTCGGACTTTAAAGCCCAGCTCACAAAACACTTGATCTAAAAATATTAATACTAATAATAACTATTAATTATTATATTATTTTTCATTTTGTTTTAGTTAAATCAATTTATTTTGAATTTCCTTTTTTTGTATATATTTATATTGTATTATTGTTATTGTATTTGTTTTTGATGATGGAGTAAGAGCAGCTTACTGTTTGGGCTTATGCCTATTACTTACTCCTGGCAAGAATATTGTATGTATACTTTTTACTCTGCCGAATAAATATTATTATTATTATTATTATTATTATTATTAGACAGTCAGTGACAACTGAATATTCTCTCTCTCATTGCTAGTTCTTACTTTGGTCATGAGTAGTCGGCACAAATTTAATTAAGGTTCAGATTTTAACATTATATATTCTGTGGGTTCAAAATTTTTAAGAAGTTGGCAACCAAGGCCATTGAAGTATCTGCCTTCGGAAAGCATTTTAGAATTAACAACTATTGTCACTAAACAAGTGTTTGTTCCTGAATCTCCTCTTATAGACAATGTCTATCCCCTAGCATTGTAAGCATTGCAAACACCATGTACTGTATTGCAACCTCGATTCATTGTGAGTCAAGAATTGTGACCTACTATGCATGTTTATGACTTGTAAATACAGCAGCACTTTTAAGCTGTAGACTTTCTAAAGGATTGGAAGTGATTCATAATACAAGGTTTATATTTAGTTACTTGTCTTAATACTCAATCTTAAAAAGCTTTCTAATAACTTAAAAGAAAATTAAGTTGAAAATGCCAAGGAAAACTTTAAAAAAAAAAAGTTTTGGATGTACAATGTGAAAGATAACTTTGGCATGATACACTATTGCTGTATAAGATTGATAATTTTTTTTTTTTATATATCCATATATATTTATTTACCAATATTAATTCAAAGTACACAATTGATAATCGTAAAAACTAATGACTAATAATATAATTAAAAATAATTATCTTCTGGTACAGTATTTTCTTAAACAGGGCTCCATAAAGGTATACACTTTTTTTAAAAATAAGAACACATTTTATAAAGAACACTGAGACTAAAATTTCTTAAACATTAAGAACAAAATAAGAACAAATTGAGGCTGAGGTAAAATGTCAAATGAGATTTTTACTTAAAAAAACCAGAAAAACCAAAAATTATATCTGCACCTGAAGTGCAGTAGGCGTGAATGTAATGTAATATCCTCTAACAGTGCATTATTGTAGGTGTACTGTATATCCTGTAAATTTGGGGCTATTTTTACCAGGGCCTTTTTTCTGGGAATTTTTTCCAGGGCCAATTTTACCTCAATTTCATTATTCTATATTTGAAAAGTGTGTAAAATCAGAACAAAATTAAAACATTTTGAGTCTAAAATCGGCCAGAACATAAGAACAGTGAGACAGTGAGCCTATTTCAAAATATATTTCCTTTTTCATTATTTTTTTTTCCTCTGCATTGACCTTTTAATTTTCATGTTATATTCAGAACATGACAATTTGGTTACAGGGTATGAAACAACCTCCAAAAAAGTAAGACACATTAATTCAATATTTCAAATTTAAGCTTCTAGATTAGATAATAATCTATTTTAGTAACTCAGCAGTTACCACGCAAACAACACATGAAAAACTGTTTTCTAAATGGCAGTCTTCATTAACAGAAAACATTCTAAATATAACTGTACTACATTACTAACTGCTAGCCAAGTATAAACATGGTTATATAAACATATTACTCTTCTCATGAACTCATATTATTAGTAATAATATTTTTTAAAGGTTTGCATGGTGAAGTAATAATATATTTAATGCTTGCTATACACCACATAGATAGTTCTGAAAAAACTGTTGTTAGTTGAGAATGTCTCAGCGTTTCGATGGTGTTGCTTCAATCTTCTTCAGGAGAATAATATCTGCAGAGAATCCAAACAGGGAAATACTTAAAAGGTTTGTGTAGTGAGACTTGCTGCTGATTGGTGGAAAACTAAACAATAATAAAGCCTATATAAATAAATATAAAGTATCTTATTGAATGATAATGAGGCTAATTAACAAAAGTTATAATCAATACTCTAATAAAACTTAAGTCTAAAGTCTAATCTCTAACTACACGATACAATTTTATGTGACAAATAAATATATGATATGCCCATAATTATATGTAATATGACATAATGCCCATAATTAGATGTAATGATAGCATCATGTCCATATATGGGTGCATCGCACCAAGTTGTCACATAAAATTTGATAGTGTACTGTAGGCAGAGCATTAAAGCTGAACACTTGCATTCATTTGAAGAACAAATACTAATTTTATGATAATTTTATGTACATTTTTATATAATCACAGACAGATTTAGGCTGGTGGAAGTTTAATTGGCTATGTCTAAGGTTTGAATAATAATTACTGTTTGAAATCACATCACATGAGACTCATTAACAATAACACGGTCATTACTGTCATAAATGAAAAATAAAAGCATCAGCAACTAAGTCCGAAAGTCGTTTGCTATTCACTAATGTATGATCATTATATTTTTGTCTAATAATGGCTATAAATGAGAGATTGTATTATTATATATATTCTCTTACAAACTGATTTAGTTTTAAAATTCTTAAGTATTGATAGTGGAGGTGTATGGTACAGTGTCTTGGTTGTTAGATGCCTGCTTTCGAACATAACAATTAAGATAGCTTCTAGATTAAATTTTACTAGGAATATAGAAATGACCACTAATTTATTAAATAATGTTTTTTTCAGCAAAACATTTTCCAATTTAGATTCTAACCAGGTAGTCCCTCCATTATTAATTGGTTTATTGGCAATTAAAATATTAAATTTGATAAAATAAATCCAGTAAATATTATCCCTAAAGGCACTATTTTCTAATCAATGCCTGAAATGATGATGTCGCAGTTGACTTCGAATTAAGTTCATTATCTCATGACAGGCAGTTGTAGAGATCAAGATAAACTACTCAACAGCCCCACCTCCTCTGCCCTTGTGTTTAATCTTGCTACCATATAGGTATACTGGTGTGTACAGTATGTTCAGTACACTTGTGAATATTATTCCAAATGTTCTGAGCATAAGTATATCATTACAATACTCCTTTTGGTTTGTTCGCTTGATCTGGTAATCCTTGACGTAGACCATAATTTTGAAATTGATTTAGTTGGGATTTAAATATCAGATCAGAGTGCTGTTTTGGATTTGACCAACTGGTGAATAGCTAAATTCATGTGCTAAATAGCAACAAACAAATCCAGGTTTAAAAATACACTCACGCACAAAATGTAAATCAAAGTACATGGAAACATGTTTACATTTTTTATTCAGGCCTATAACCAGAATGACAGCAAAGGGTCCATGGGATCCTTCGATCCCCTAGTGGGGGTTCATGGAAGAGCTCTGAATGGGTTCAAGGTTGAATGAAATCTCTACTGGAGAGCATTTTAATGTAGCCTCTCAGCTTTGGTGTAAATACTGTGTTATGGGATATTCATACAAAAACTGTTTTGTGGGTAGACTACAGTAGTTGAGGGAGTCTCGGGGAAAGGAGTGTGACCAAAGCTGTGCGTATTCAAATCCATGCCCACACCACAGCTTGGGTTGCGTTCCTCTCCTCAAGACCTCCTCGTCTAGTCTATCCACAAGACTGTTCTCACGGAACATCCCATAAGTTGAAAGGTTACATTCAGTACCATAAAATAGTGAATTTAATCATTATTTTGATGGTATGTTATTCAAATAGCACAAGGGTGGTGTGACTTATCAAAGGGTGTTTGCTTAAAAGGTAGTCGTTTACTGATAGTTTACAAGCTAATACTAATGATAACTTTAAAGGAGAACGATGACTTCATCAGTCAGTCATTGACGTTTTATTTGTCCTTTCGCAGATTTACTTTGTGGCGCTGTGTACTAGAGATAAGCCCACTTCTTACTTCACTACCTTCTGTGCTTAGACACCGGTCATTCCTCTCTACTCAATACATCCTAATTTTATTTATTTTCAGAAAGTAAAAGTAAACTTGAGAACTCGCTTCAATTTCATAAAATTGAAGTCGAGGCCTGCCATTCCTAGTCTTTGACATCCAATGTATTTACATCCGTATTCATCGTTACTAAAAATAAAGAATAATAACCTTGAAAATAATCAAGACATATTAGTGCAAGCTCTGATTTTTATTCAAAATTTTGTCCTGAAATCTGATGAGAAAAAAATATATATTTTGGCATTGGAATATTTATTTTGCTCCAGGAAATTTGACCTTTGACTTTTATACCAACTTTTATTCTATTAATGATTGTACATAAACATGGACAAGTGTATTGGAGGGGAAACATGATTATAATTTCCTTTATTTGCATATTGTGATTCAGCTATTTTTGGTTGCCTAACTTCCAGCGTCTCTTCACTGTAGCAAAATTTCATTAGCAAATCCAGAAGGTTGCAAAGACAGGAAGGAAAATCTAACTTGGAATATCCTGGTCTGGCCGATAAAACAGCAGACAGAAAACCCAAGCCCCTGGTCACTCAACGAAGACTGGTTTTTGTTGGTGATCTGTAACGAGAACCAGCTGGGACAATATCAAGCACATTGGCATTGCCCCAAGCGGGGGTACAAGGCGTCTAGGCTCTTGAAACCCACAGAGATCTGATTCAATACGGCTGTTCTGCTACAGCGAATGGTCTGGTGGACATATATTTAAACATTTCCTGGCTTGGCACATTTAAGACAATGCTAAATTCGTGGAGAATTCACTAATAGTACGTACTGTAGTAGTAGAGCCGGATAGTGTTCTGTTGGAACCATATGGAGGAAAGTTTTTACTAAAAGATTCAGATGTCATTTTTGAGAAATTATACCAATGAATTTCAAAACAAAATATATCTGAGATGCTTGATTATTGAAACTCAGGATACAAAACGTATTATGCCAATTTGCTGATCAATTGGATGGAATATTAATATTAAGCTGGGAGTAGCTCAAAGTCCAAATGTGTGGTCGTTTAATATTCATGCTATTAGCTTTGAAAACCGATACTCATTATACAGTCGTTGAGTACTAAAATGTATGTATTTTTTATAACTGTATTATTTTGATTGGATCTTATTTTATGTACACACAATAGGAATATTTTTTGCCGGACAAACGGTTACAGATAGAAGTGACCATTGTATGCGACGCTGACAGATGGTCAGCACATATTTTCATCAGGGTTGACAGAAAGAGAATGAAACTTTATGTTGATAAACAAATTGTTAATAATACAAAAAAAATTGTGGTTATTTTATTTGAGTGATCCTTTCTTTTGATTCATCCTGGAATCCCTCAGACTAAAGCCATCATTCGAAAGCGCTAAAAAAAAAATTACAAGGATGGAAAGTTTGCAGAATGTACGGCAACGCTGTCAGTCGATGGTGTCGCTTCTTCCAACAAACTCAACTCAAGGACGCAATATTAGACACGGTAAGAGAATTGACACCCAGTTGCATGTAGGCATGGATAAAAAAAACGCGTGCTGGGATGAGATCAACGTTTTTTTCCTTCGGATTTTTACCAGTATTCACTTTCAATGTATTAACCTTCCATCTCTGCATAGTTTTTCTTTGTTATTTAGTATGTAGACTGTATTTTACAGTTTTTACTCCTAATGAGGAGATTGTCTAGTGCATGTTTTTTTGTAGTCTGTTCTGTAATTTACGAATTACACACATAACACACATTTTTTTCCAACATTAATAAAATCATCACTGCAGTATAGCAATGCACTAGGAGATAGATATACTTACTGTACTAAAATTCACCAAGACTTCCCCACAGGCCTCGTATTATTAGTGCAAGTTTGGATGTGCCATTTTTGATACGTCAGATTTGATGCGTAGTTTAGAAGACCTTTCAGAAGATCAAGTTAACTGACTGTTGTAAATAACATACATTTTACATTTAAATATTGTCACTTGTCAGAGTAAACAACTATACGGCCTTTCCAAGGCAAAACAACGTAACCTAAAAATATAAAATTAGTTTATATAAAAGTAGTTGCGTTGTTTTTTATATGGGACAGCCGTATACTGCTTTATTATACTATATCGGATGTTTTTTCTACGAAATTATTATCAGAAATTATAACCCCAGAGTACAGTTTTACAAAAATGAATGAAGTTTGAGCCATTTCAGGATGTTGAACATTACTCTGGGATTATTAGATAAAGTGTCGAAATAAGTGGTAGTTGATTGTACTGTAAAGTAAGTTGTTAGCACATTATAGTGCAATTCTTCTGTGCGCCTACTGTATTGTTGTTTTAATAGTAGGTGTTTTTATAAAGTATTATTGTTTCTCTTTATAATTATTCTATTTATAAATGTTTTTTTACCAGATTACAAACTTATTGCATGCTGTTCCATTTTGTGTTTTCATTGATGAATTATTACTAACTTTTTTTTGCATGTTGTAAAGTTTGTGGTTTTATAGAATTATATTTTCAAATGATTTATTATTTTTATATCATGAAGTGTTTATTTTTTCTATTATGATTCAAGTTTCTCTCTTCCTTAGTTTGTTTATGATTGAATTGTTTAACCTCCATTAAAAGTACACCTTTAGGTCCCAAAAAAGCTTCCCTTTATACAGTAGGTGTACCGTATTGAGGGACACTAACGAAAAACATTGTCCCCTAGTAGGGGTTTTTCCACGTCATACAATAAGGATATAGATTCTTTATATAATTTTATTTCAGTTGACCTAAAAACGTGTTACAATATAAATTAAACTAAATTGTAACAATAATTTGCAATACAAATCAAAATAAATGTAATTAACAACAAAAATTGTAGGCCTATTTATTCTAGATTCCAGCGCTATGAGATACGGCAGAATGAATATAGTAGTGACTTCTGAATTTGAATTCTGAAAGTACACCAGGAAAATAATTTATCTTTGTTTTTTTTATATGTATTGTGTTAAAACAACCTCTCAATTATGTTAGAGGATACTGTTGTCAATTGAATAAAAAAATAACTTAAACTTCCTGTTGAAAGCGATAATATTTGATTGTGAATTATTCAAGTAGGTCAGTAAATAACATAAACTGATTGTTAATACCTATGATATTAGCTGTCAAAAATACAACCCTTTAAGTATACAGCTGAATATGTAGTTAAAAGGAAAGGTTGATAATTAGTTAGTGAGCTAGTGTAGTCGAAATTCTGCCTTAGGCTTACTTAATCTCAAAATAGAATAGCGTTTTCTGCCTGAACACTACCTGTCTATTCTCCACAGGTTAGAATAGACCTTAAGATTTTAATTACCACACATTTCTGAACTTCCCAGCCAACGCAGAGTACACATCAATGGAACAGATTTTCCGATACATTGAATATGCATTCCTTGAAGGTATCCATACTTTGGAACATTTATTGTAGTGTATGCAAATGAAATGGACTCTGATATCCATAGAAACAAAGCTAAAAAAATGTAGAGATGTTTTTGAGAGTTCTGCATGAGAAAGTCTGTTCTTGATGTTCAATAAAAATTATACTCCCAAGGATTTTATGAATAATACATAGATTAATTTATATTGTGTTTTTTGTGAAGGTTTTAGTTGACTGGTTATTAATCTACACTTGTTTGACAGACAACAGTACCTGGGATTCTATTCATGTTATCTCCTAAGTTATCATTTAGCATAGAGTCGTCTGCATTGATTGAGCTTTTTATAACCATACACAGTGAGATAATTCAAAATGTAATCTCCCATTAGTAAATATAATTATGAAAATTAGTATCTGTAGATCTCTAATACGGTACAAGGTAGCAATTCTTATATGCCATTAAAATTAGTAGTAGTAGTAGTAGTAGTGTAGTTTTATATAGCGCAGATATCCACCTAATGTAAGATGCTCAGGGTGCTTGATTTGTGGACTAGGAACTCGATCAATGACTTTCTTCGCCAATAATGGGTCCCTTCGTGTCTGTGTTACCCGGTACCAGCAACTCTCGTCATCCACCACAGGGTCTGTCTGCTCCAGTACTCCGGGGTATCCCCCTACTCATCTCGAAGGATATACTGGGTTCTTTATAGTGCACACGAGCCATTGTATACACTGGGCCTACGGTTTATAGTCCTTATCCGAGAAGACTTGTTCTACCACCAGAACCATAGGCGAGTGTGCCATTCGAACCAGTGCCGATATTATGGCTATAGCTTGCGGTGCCCCTGCTAACCGCTCGGCCATTCGACTCACCAAACCAAATTACTGATTACTCTCTCTATTGGCCAGTGATCAAATCATAGTCTCCTTGGTATCTGGATCGGTGATTTTCTTGTATGAACTCACGGGTGAGCGCATATGTTTGTAATCCAAATCCTGCTAACCGTTAGCTGCCGTGTGTGAACATGGCCTTAAAGATGAAGCCTGGTGATAGACTATAATACTGCTAAAAGAATATAGAGAAAATGATTATTACTTTTTGTGAGTGATGATTTCCAGAGTTTCGTATAAATAAGAATTTCTAGAAGAAAAAAAATTCAGATTCTGGTAATATATAGTAATTTGTTTCACTCTCTTGTTTATACTAATTATAAGTCATAATAAACATAACAAAGCCATTAAGTATAATTGTTTGAATTAAGGTAAAGGTAAAGGTAGGAGAATAACCCATAACTTGCAGCGTCATTGTGCTGAATTGCGTATGGGGGTGGTCCGTGACTACTGTACCTAGCAGCCGTAAAGAGGCGCTTCTTCGTAGATACATGTTCACATCATTCCACAACGACAGGGGCTGGAATAAACCATAACAGCGGGGGTAACCCCTACTCTTTCAGAAGATGCAATGGGTTATTTAAAGTGCACACAGATGTATACACTGGACCTCCATTTTAAGTCCTTATCCGAGAAGACTTGGTTCTACCAACCGAACCATGGACGAGGAGCAGCTGGAACCAGTGCCGATGTTAAGGCTGTAGCCAGCGGTGCCCCTGCCTTACTGCTCGGCCACTCGACTCGCCACTTAGATTTGTATGTTAAAGTTTATTTACTGTAGATTTTGATTAAAAAATTATAATGAGAAAGTATTATCCTTGCCATTTAGCAAACATCAGAGGTAATTGTTTCTATTCTAATTTTACAAGGTGCTAATTGGATGATATTTATGGAATTTAGTTTAAATACAAAATGGTTTCAGGTGAAGTAGTGAATTCTACTACCCTGAGGTGTTGGTTGATTGTGACTACCTCCTGACACGGAGGGAGGATTGGTAATCCTAATCAACAAACAACGAGATTGATGTACCGTATTTGTCTTACTATTATGATGTATGTTTTACTATAACCAGGATGTAGTTATGGTAGGCGGGACCAGCTAATTTTATGGCCCTCCACCCACCCTTATTAACTCACTTTTCCATCCTTTAAAATCCACTCTTATTATTTTAGAATTTACCAGGGTTATTTTACACCTACCATAAAAATATCTATCACCCACCCTTTTATACAGGAGCTGATTTCTTCAGCTCATGTACAACCCTGTATATCTCATAAATATTAAAACAGCGAACATTCATCTACATTTAGCCATTTTAAACTGTGAGGGTAAAATTATGCAGTGTTCACATGCATGATTGGGATTTTTGAGTAGTAGCATTTTCCCCAATTGGCATGCGCAGGAAGTGGTAGAAACTACCACACCCCTTCCCGGTTGGAATTCAGCACTGAAATCTTATGAGGCATAGTAATACTGTATGCACTCTTTAAATCAGTTTGTTTTGATCATCATTACCATTGAAATTTAATAAACTTACTTGATCCGAAAATTCTTTTTTTTTTTTTATTGACTTGCTAGAAACAATACAGATTAGTTGTGGGTGAACCCTACCCACAAAGTAAAATTTACAAAAAAATATATAGACTATAGTACAGTAGAGTACAAGCCACATGTATGCATATTATATTCCCGTTGAGAAAGTATCTTGATACTGACAATATAGGTGTCAAGATTTACAAGTGGAGATAAATGCAACTCACACTGTACAGTCATCATGCTAAATAAACACTTTATTTATTACACTGTAATTCATACAACTTTCTTTCTCTTAAGAATACATGCATGTAACTATATAATACATTTGAAATGATACACAAATATTGTACTGGCCATGTGATACAGTACTATAGTTTAATCAACTTTAAGATTACTAAGTTACATGATGATTTTAAATACAAATTTCTGTCACTTCTTTCCTTTGTTGCAGGTAGTTCATTGGGCCAACGCCCAACTTATTTAAAAATAAAACTTAAAATACTTAATTATTAATTGATTGATTATAATTCTTTAATTGCAGACATGTTTAAGCAATATTAGCTACTTTTGTGTTCATAAATAAAAATCACAGACTAAAAAATTTACAATACATTGACTTTAAAAGAGACTGAACTGAGGAAGTAGCAGAAGCATATTCCCAAGGCAAGGGGTAACAACCATAACACAATGGCGATATTGATTGTATTCGATAATACTGAAGACCTGAGCCTAGGAAAGCCTACATTGTGTAAGTTCAAGGCCCACCTTATGCCATTGCTGATAATTTCCTGGCCTACAGGTTACGATATGACGAACCTAGGCTTTAATAAGACTAAGGCTGGAATGCTGAGTACACTCAACAAGTGGCGGCTTCCTTCTCTGTGCTCTCTGCATCGGTTGTCAAGTGAAATGGAGCGCTCGGTCGGAGACTTGATTTCATTCAAACAAAAGCTACCAGCAGGAGGCTGTGTTGAAAGTAAATAAAACATAATCGCAAGCATTTGTAATGCTACATGGGTCCTATTTCCTCATTGTCAAGTTTTATTACTTTAAGCAGTATTCAGTTGTTCAATATACTGTAGTAATATTTAGTGCATGCAATTTTTTTTAATGAAAGTTTTGATTATTTATACTGGAAAATACCAGCCTTTTCCATCCCAACTTTTTGCATGGATTTAGTAGACAGGTCATGAGATAAAATTCAGTTTTGTTTTAATAAGGGAAAATGAAATGTACATTGAAACCCTTTGTTATTAAGTTTTATGATTTTTCTAGTATATAAAAAATCTTGAATATTGAATTAGCAAACAGTATGTTGATGTACTGTAATAATAATAATGTACAAAATAATTTTTACAATTTCTTTTTATACCACTTGTTTCAGAAATCCGTCAAAGGCTAACAGAACAGCTGAAATGCCTGGACACAAGGCACGAGTCGCAACTAGGTCTCATCGCAGATGTACAGGAATATTTCAAGAGACGGTCAGAGATTGAATTTGACTATGCCCGACAATTGGAACGTCTGTACGACCGGTTCACGGGCAAGCAGAAACCAAGTCACACGTAAGAATCTTGTGAAATATTTTGACATTTAGGAACAAAGGCTTACTCGTCAAACAGGATTAAAAGGAAGTTTTATGTGAAAGCTGGAGTTATAGGGATATAGGTCCCTGGTGGAGTTGTGGTCTTTTTGGGATTAGGGGAAATATTAGGGGAAATGTTTACATGCTGAATCTTTCTAGCATGTAAAAGGTGAATTCCTTTTCATTTTAATGGCTTTGATGCAAAGGAAAGTGGTGCAATTTGGATGATCAGAGGGGGTTTAAAGAGGGCTTGCCCAAACTATATACTAGGAACCCCTCCCCCTGATTATAAGCCTGAAAGATTACTGATGCTAACTTTACAATACAAAAATTTATGAGTTAAACAGGGGTGGATTTGCAACATCTGTGAAATATAACTATAGTCAGCGCCTTTTTTTGCGCGCTGTAATTTGTTGGAACACAAACCTTTAGCTTCTTCAGTCTGAGGTGGTTGTATATAAAGATGTGAATTTATGTTATTATAACTTGAATTAGCAAGAATTGAATAGAATTCAATTGAAATTTATTAGGTACTCCAACCAACACACAAAACATTACAGGAAAGGTTGCACAAAGCAAAAATAAAACGATTTAAACAGTAAAAACCTAAAAGCAAACAGTGAATGGAGAACCAGGATGGCCCATAAAGTTAGTATAGCAAATGCTGGCTAATTTTTAATGGGATTCCAGACAAAAATAAACAGCATTGACAAACATTCAAAGATAAAACAGTTAAAAAGATAAAAGATAAAATTTTAAAAAGTTAAAAGGTTAAAATATAACAATAAAAAATTTGAACATTCTAAAATTTAAAAGATTAAAAAGTCAAAGTCAATGACAAAAGTGCAGAGATAAAGGGCGCGTACAGTAAGGGTGGACAGACAAAAAGGGGCAGTTGAAAATGGGTTTTAATAAAAAATGAACAATGAGTGGACAATAGTTATTGTAGAGGACCCTGAAAAAAGTATAAACAGTAAAGTAATACTGAAGACCAACATAATGTAATAATTTCTGCAAGTTGCAAATCGATCTACAGTTGGAAAATTGCCAGAGTGTAGTTGATGAGTACAATAATATTGTATTGCTCATAATAAAGTAAAGAATAAAATGATATTATTTTAAACATGCCTTCATAAAATGGTCAGATAATGTTTTAAGTAGTAATTTCATCTTTCTCAAATATAAATAATGATATGGTACTGTGCTCAATTTCAATATAGATCAAATCACAAGTTATTATATTTGGTCATTGGATCCATAAATGTTCAAACCGTTAATCAATTTCCACTCCCTGGAATATGTACCTAGTTGTCTTGCAGTTACAATACCAATTCCACACGAAGAATGCCCGTCAATTTTCCTCGGTAGAGATTATAATGTACTGTAGATAAAATGTCTTGGCTATAATATAAGGACACAAGAAAAATGTACAGGAAGGTTTACCGCTGTGTGTACAGTGAGAGTTTGTTACTTTTTTTTTTTTCCTGGTAGGTGAAGTCTTGACGAATACTGTGAAAGGAATAGCTCTGTAATTTTAAAGTAATTTGCAAAATTATAATGGAGGAAACACTATCTATCTAATTAGCAATTTTCGGCAAATGATGCTCACGCACCATTGAAGGCTGGTACCATATTTGTTGACAGAAGATGTGTTTTCTGGTTCAGGGATTTAGAATGAGAATTCAAAGCAGTGTGCCTTCAGATGTTATGTTTGTATTGAGCTACTATTCCAATGTATAATTTGTTGTTATTTTTATTGTTTAATTTAAGCATCATGAATTAAAACCTTAAATACTTAAACCTAACCAAGTTCTTGTAATCTTGAAAGCTCTGATGGGGGCAGTATAATAGAGGCATAGTGTATATTGGGCCTATTGGCCGCCCATACAAAAAAAGATCTATTAATCAATCAGATTAATCAATCAGTGGAGTGTTTTCTAGAGCTCCTCATCAGAGATAAAAAGAGTATCTATTTGGCATTGTAGGTATAGAAGCTGTGGGTAATAAATATATTAAGATCTCAAGTGCAACACAGTACAGTAGCAATTAAAATTGTAATTAACATATCACATTATCAGCTGAAGTATTTCCTTTTTTTAATGAAAAATATTGAAGTAGCAAAATTAAAATTAATATAATCAACCACATTATCATCCAGAGTATTTCCCTTTAAAGAAAAATATTGAAGCAATACCAATTAAAATGTAATATAATACCATAACCTATCACATTATTATCTGAACTTTCCTTTTAATGAAAAATAAGTTGCAATCAATATAATCTATCACAACATATCACATCATCAGCTAAAGTATTTCCGTTTTAAAAGAAAAATATTGTTTATGCAGCAATTAGTGTACTCGCAAGTAAAACCATCCTGGTTTTATCTTACACTATTAAAATTCATCATTAATTCACTGTGTTTGTTGTGTGCTGACCTTCATGGCTCATCAGTTTAATTATCCAGGTATAAGTGGAACGATAATCGGAATATGTATAGCATTATCGTTTTATTTTCGTGCATAATTATCTTTTTGTAGACAACACTTTCATGAATCACTGACCATACATGTTTTGTTGATTGTAATCTCCATTTTTCTGATTTCATCATCTTGATATCACAACCTTTCCTATCTTCAAATTCTTTAATATCTTGTTATCATTTTATTTCTTTAACATTGAGCAAGCACAGTATGTTGCATTGGTTTTAAACTACTTTATATTACAGGGGATGGGATCTGACACTTTTCCATGGTACATTGGCAATTTTAAGCTGTTTTATGATGTTTTGAACCTGTTTTTGATCTACGAAATGCAGCGAACGGACGGCTTACAGTACAGTATGCCATCCCTAACCATCTCCCATTTGTTAGCTTATGACAGATAGTTTAGGCCTAAATCTTAAATTTGAACTACAATGTTTAAATATATTACGGTATTCTTTCAAATGTCATAAACTTATTAAGATTAAGCATAGCAATTTTTAATAAAAACAATACTGATAATTCTAAGTAACAGGCAACAGAAAACCAGCAATAATATTTAAGAATAATTTTATTAATTGATAATGATCTATACTATAAATAGGCCTGTATCTACTGACGTACAGAATATGCTACTATACAGTATTTCAATTCAAAACAATAAGACTAATGTCTCTGTGAGTATAGAAACAAAAGATGAGACAAAAGGCTAAGCAAGAAGACAAACCAATGTACGTAATCTCCCAAGCAATTATTGCTTACTTGCACAATAATGATATTGAAATAAGTAACGATACTGCCAAATTTGATAAATGAAACCTTTAACATTTATTTTAAATAATATGAAAGATACATGGCTTAAGAATATACTCTTCTATATTTTTCAAATTATATTACCTAGAAGTAATTAGTAAATTTACACCTAGATCCTCTATTTTTAAAGGGACAATTCTGCATCAAAAAAATGTTATGATAATTATAATATGGATGTCCCTTGAACAGTGGTTATCTCCTAGTGAAGGCTGTATTATCGATTATTTTCTTGTTAGGTGGTGGGGTAAAAAGTCCACTGAATAGGGGTGTCCCCTTTAATAGAGGTATGCCCTTCTACCAAAGCAGGGGTTCTACAATAATTAGGTGGTTTTTATCAAGGTTAATGAGAATCTGATTTTAATGCATTTATAGTTCTTCACTTGGGGCCCGTTCGAGCGAAAATATCCGTGCAATTTACCAGTTAATTCACCGGTACACACTTTCTAAAACCGCTCGGACACTAGTCTAATTACCTTACCCTCTGGATTATCCGCGACAATTTTGACCACCAAATTGCTGGGTAGAATACCGTGTATGGAATAACCATGGAGCCGGAGGCGATGATAAATCAACCTTAATTGTTTTTCCAAAAGTTTTGTCCACAGCCCAGCACGAAATTCAATAGGTTACAGCCCAGGCGTGGTTGCAGCTCTCCTTCGCCTCCTCACACATGCACAACTAAATCTAAATTTAGTAGCATAGCTATGCGATCGATTTGTAGATTTACCATTATTCGGAGAAAGAAACTTGAATAAACTAGCATAAGTACAGATTTTAAAGCAGCCATTATAAGTTATTGAGCTACATTATCGTTCCACCGTGCCGCGCTGTGTGTACGTGGGCCGGTTATAGTAGTAAGTAAACAAATGGGATTTACCGTGAACTAAAACTTGCTCGAATGGTCGACCACCCGCTGAGTGCTCAGCGCTATTACCCGGTGAAATAAACTAAATACGGTTGGCGTTTTTTGCTCTAACGGGCCCTAATACGCCCACTAAATTCTCAACAATGATGTAACAAAGGAGAGGTTCTACAGTCACTAATTAGTTCACTGAAAAACTGAAACAAAAAATAACATCTTCAAGTCCATTACCTGAGCCATTGAAATTGAAAGGATCTTCGGATATAAAGAAGTCTATGAGCAAAGATGGCTTATCTTCCAAGAAAACACTTAAAGAAAACGAGTTAAAGAAAACATCTATTAGGTCTGATTCAAAGAAACAAGTTAAAGACAATGTTGAAAGTAAAAAGACCGTTGCAAATGAGAACAGTGATCCTTCTAAGAAATGTTACATTAAACTAAATCTAAATCATATTTATGTTTGATAAAAACAAACTTTGTTGTTAAACGTTACAAGTTAAATTTTATTAGTCAACAAATACAGTAGATATAGTAGGCCTATCTCTTGATTCGGGGGACCTAGAGTATAATTTACACTAGACTAGGTTAGAGATGAAGATGCATGCATCTAAAAGCATGTGAGTAACCGTGGTCATGCGCAATATATGTCTATAACTGAAATATCTTTGTTATCGCTAATCCAATGCTACTGTATTCCTTTGAAGAAAAATTACAACATTTAAATATCTGTCTAGATTGAGGTTACATTTCTAAGGTGTTTTCAAGTTCTTTTTAATGCCATTTGTTTAAAAAAATGTTAAAATATTTTACTTGTTTGGTAGT